ATGAACGTCACGCTCCACCTTGGTGCACAAAGTCAGGCCAAGGATGCACATGTGAAACGAGAGTGTTCAAGAAAACCCTCCCTCTGAAGCAGCTGCGTTGCCGCTGCTCTCCACTCCGAGCTCCGCTCACCATATGCTCCTGTTCCACCAGCAATTGCCATTTAAATGTCAGTTTACAAGCAGATGTTGAGAACTCTCCTCTGCTCCATTCATTTAATCCTGGGAACAGACAGAGTTTGAGGTTTAACCCTGCTCGGGCTAACGGCGAGCAGGGCCACAGCCTCTGCAGGGCGAGCGCTGGGACAGGGACACATGTGGGTGCTGCTTCCTAGGGATGCTGGGAATCCTGGACACGATCCCACATTCCTCATGTCGGCTGTGAGCAGCCAGGATAGTGTATGGGAATTCTAGACTGTGAAAGGAGATGGGCACAAACACTCACATGCAGGGAAAAATAGGAAGACAAACTCTGGAAAAGCAGCAAAGTGGGGAAGGACGGAGAAGGCGCCCTCTGTACCCATCCAGACATCAGCATGTGCTTAAAATCCTTCCCAATAAAGTTCGTAATGAATTTAATTCAGTCCCCTATGGCCCAGAGGAATGTTCTGAGCAATAAAATAGTATTGCTAAGGGAGCGATCACTGCCAACCGCCTATTCTGTGCCAGTGATGCATATTCACATTATTGGCACTTAAAGGCCGGGTTTGCTTTACTACCTAAATGATCCTTTGTCGCATATTAAGAATTAATACCGTAAAACCCACATTTGAGAAGCTGCAATAACAATTCCCAATTTAAATCATTGTTATATTTGTACTTTGTTTCTTCTTGAAGAGTGTTTTTTTTTTTCCTTTTTTTTTTTGGCAAATTAATGGCCGAATGTGCCTTTTCCTGTTTTGGGTGAGCTATTTCATGGCTGGCTTATGATCTTTAAAAATAGTTCTAATCAATCTCTTATCATTCTTCATGTCTCCTACATTAATTTTTTTGAATTACCTTGAACCATCTGCATCAATGTTAAGTGAATTATAAGCTCCAACGTTTTCTTAAAGGCTGGGTGCCTTCCCTTGGCCAGGGCCAGGTGGACAACGCCGGGTCTCCTGGCTTCAGCCTGCGCAGCACCATGTGCTGGTGCAGATGAAACCTTGCACCGTTGCTCCAAGGTGTGTTGGAAACTGCAAGCACCAGCGATGGAAGCTGAGGAACCGCAGCGTTACCGTGTTTATCAACACCATTAACACGGGGAGGATAAACGTGTGCTCTCATCTACTAGCTAGTGTCACTTCAGCGCGTTAGTCAGGAAAACTGAAAAAAAAAAAAGGCATTAATTTTCAGTTTTATCAGTGCAAGGGGAAGTTGGATGTGAGACAAAATGTGTAGGAGTTTTAATTCCTCGCAGGCAGTTGGCATCAAGGTCTAGGGGAAAACGCATCAGTGCTGGCAGAAGGTGCAGTCTGGTTTTTGTGCAAGTGGGTAGAAAGTTTTTTAAGCATCTTCTGCATGTAACATTACAAAAAACAAGATTTCTAGAACCTGAAGTTCCAAGTGATTGCAGCAATGATTCAATCAAAATATGTAATATGCCATGGTCTGAGTAAGACCAGAAAGACCTTTCTTTCATATACTTAGGTTTGTGTCATACCTCTGAATCAAGTGTGAACAGTTAGAAAAAAAAATCAAATTTTCTTCTTTTTTCCAGCATGTTTATTTACATGATGCACCTCCCTTCAAACAATGAGTGCTTTTTCAAGGGTAAAAATGAACAACTACTCATCCCTGGAAAAAATGCAACGTTTAGGAAGACAACTGCTTCCCCGGCCCGAGGACCAACCAAACCCCTGTACTATGCAAGGGCACCAGCAGCCCCGTTGTTCACTGGCTGTGCACATAGCGAAACACTAAGTTCTCCACAACAGAAATGTTTCAAAAATATTTGGCAAGTGGAACCGAAAAGGGTCAGTGGCAATAAAAATCAGATACAAGAGAAAAATCGGACATCTCAGCACACTCTAGTTGGGCTTAAAGTGAGTGCATGTGCTGTTTGCTCACTGTTTTTCACAACAGTGTTTGTAATTTAGGAAGCTGTATATTAACATCTTCTAATTAAGAAGATAAAGTTTTATTTACAAAATAGCACTTACTTTTCTCCCTGGAAGAGATCATCTGGTAAAAGCAGAGAGGGATTTTGCAGGCCTTGGTGCCTATCAATATTTAAGCCCCCGGCAAAGCCGTAGCGCCCCTGGCTCTGTGCTCACCAGGCTGAGCACGAGGCCCTTGCTGGGAGAGCCAGCCCGACGGCTGCTGGGCTGACGGCAAAAGAAAGGCTCTGAAGATTGGAAAATCTGCAGAAATCTGCAGGAGTTGGAGCTCAAAGAGCCCCTCAGCTAAGCTAAGGGAATGGGATGGAATAGAGACTGGAGCTAAGGAGCATTACAGGAGGTAAAGAGCAGGTAATGGCCAAGATAAAGGCATTTATGTGTCTCTTTGCATTTAGCCTGCTACAACACCCTTCCCAGTCTTTTTTTTTCCCTCCCCAAGGCTGTCATGCCAGTGTAGTACGTTCATCTGCTACTGTTCCATCCTTCCAAAGAGTATGCTATTAGCAAAAATAATGCACTTCAAAAATTAAATGTGGTATTATGTGATCAGGGAAGCAAGGGCTCAGAAAGAAACCTTCTGTTTGGTATTACAATTAAGTCAAATATTTGTTCAATGCATTATGACTTTCATGAAGAAAAATTACTTTCAAAAATAATTGAAATTTCACATCTTTTTGCTTGACTGGGGGTGAGAAAGAGGATACATTAGCACACCCTGCTCAAGCCATGGTAGTTTCAAACTCATCTTTTGTCTTTCTTCTGCCCCCACCCTTCTTCACTTTCATTTCTTCCCTCCAGCAAAGTATCATTTTCTGTCTTGAAAAAAGCACCAAATGAGAGGAATCACATTCCTCTAATAGTCTGTTTAATGGGGTTGTGATATGAAACCTGACTTGTTCTAGCAGGTGAGTGTTGCCGTGGTTTGGGTGTCAGTAAAGCAAGCCAGACTTTGGAGGGGATGAGGGGTAGCTAAACTCTGCCGAAACGGTAGGCTGTGCTCTGCTGTCCTGGGTGTCCGCGATGCCCGCTCCCCCCAGCTGTTCGGATAAGGCACAGTCTTGGGAAGAGAAAAATAAAGTGATGGAATGTGCTTTTGTTTTAGGAGTGGTGCTTTGGGGAGGGGTGGGACTGAGCAGCACTTACTTGTGCACCGTGTAGCTCCTGCAAGACGTCGGGCTCTCCAGCGCTCGCCTTACGTGCCCGGGCAGGGGCGATGGCAGCCAGGACCCCGCAGCAGAGCGTCCCCAGGGTGGCCCACGCCGCCGGGCAGGAGCTTCACATGTCCAGCAGCTCAGTCACCCCCTCTTTAATGCAGCTAGTGATGCAGCGACATGCATCGGTATCACAGGTAGAAATACAAAATGGGCAGGTATCACATTTTGAAGTATACTTTATAATTTAAAACTGCTTACACTTCCATGATCAGGCTTAGTTTTTTTTTTTCTTTTCTCATTTACATTCATCATTTAATTCCACTGGAATTTGATTTTTAAGAAAGCCCAACATATCGTCATTACCATAAAAAGATCCATACATATTTTACTTAAAAATATCTTCTGTAAGAGGAAAGTTACCAAAAATAACACCAAATATATTATTATGCATACTTTTTTTTTGTAAAGTACAAACAAGAATCTGATCTCTTCTGGGTATTGCCTGATCTGATATGGCTATAGGTTGCTATTTATTTTGTTGTTGTTTTTTAAATAAAGGGAAAAACATAAGAAATGTAAAAAACACAAAACAAAAATCCATTCTTTCCAAAGATACAAGTATCAGTGAAAGAACACTTTGAGAATTAATGAACGATGGTAGGTACAAATAAACACCATCCAAGCACTATGTAGTCTTTATCCCAGCATATTGCTGCACTGACCTTGAAACAGTTATTAAAAAAACAACCAAAACGCTATTGGCAGAAAAAGCTGTCAAGCAAAACATTGAAGAATCGGTACTACTTCCTAACAAGTAAGTGCAGAAGTGATGCTAAATATGTTATGTTTCCCATTCCCACAGACACTCTTTAAAAAAAAACCAGGCCTCATCGTGGTCACGCTGGCCGTGTGCTGGCTGCCCAACCAGGTGAGGAGGATCATGGCTGCCGCGAAGCCCAAGCAGGACTGGACCGTGCCCTACTTCCGCGCGTACATCACGCTGCTGCCCGTGGCCGACACCTTCTTCTACCTGAGCTCGGTGGTGAACCCGCTGCTCTACAACGTGTCGTCGCGGCAGTTCCGCAGCGTCTTCGTGCAGGTGCTGCGCTGCCGCCTCACGCTCGAGCACGCCAACGCGGAGCGGCTGCGCAGGGCCCGCCTCAGCGCCGCCGCCAGCAGCGGCCGCTCGCTGCGGCCGCTCATCTTCAGGGCGTCCAAGCGTGGCTCTTCCACCAGAAGCGCTCCCGGGGTTTTCTTGAGCACGTTCCAGGGGGAAACCAAGGCGCAGGAACCACGTCCTGACTCGCCGGAGCCCAATGAGGACGGAGCGACGCAGGAGACCAGCTTGGACCCCAGCTCGGAGGCGCAGAATGGCCGTTGTGAACATGAGATGTGACTTTGCAAAGCAAAGTTAATGATTAGTAATGAACTCAAAAGCACAGAAATTAAAATGACTGAGGAATTGACCGCATCTTAAAAAGTATTATCACAGCTAGATTTGTTTCCAAATATGCAAAAAGCAGGCCTTCTGTATGCTGCTGTTGGGATTTCTTATTTTTCAGTGCACACTGGAAATTCAATCTGCTAACTGCATTCATTAGCTGCCCAAAATACCAGCCCATCTCTTCCCCAAACCACTCAACTTCCCTCTCTTTTCATAGGGATTTGGAAGCAAATAGAAAATAACTGCAGTGTCTTTGAAGAAAGGAGGAGAACCTCTGGTGAGAGCACAGCCTTTGCTCAAAGTTTAGCAATACGCAGCCGAAAGAGCCAATGTAAGGAGCAGTATGGTGGTTACGATGTGTGCCCGAGGCGTTGCGCCCGCGTTCCCTCTCTTCCTGGGCCGGGGCCCGTTGCAGAGCGGCGTGTTGCAGCAGCTGATGCAGACAGAGTTCACCTTTCCCGGGGAGCAGAAGGACTGGTATCCCGCAGACGCGATGAGGCAGGCTGCCGAGGACGCGCACGACTTGCGGTACATGATTCCTGGGACACAGAACAAAGGGTACTTAGCTTGACAGACACTTTCCTCCCTTTTTTTTTTTTTTGTTTTTTTTTGTTTTTTTAAACAATAGGATTCACATTTGAAAACTCTTGGGTCTAGGGACTCAGCCACACACCTTAGTTACGACACAATAAAGTTCTGCACTGCTAGGAGAATCACTCTTGGTTGGATTTTTCTTTTTTATTTTTTTCCCCCCCCTTCTTCAAGTCTGGTTGCAACCAAAGCAAATTCTAAACTTGATTCACATTGTGTATTTTATAAACAGAAAATGTTATCTTTTGGAATAACTTGTTTAAGTAACTAAAATTAAAATGGAATTAGTTTGAAAATGAGTCTGGTTTCTTGTGCTGAACACATCTGAGGTGTCTTAAAGTATGTCTACAAAATCAGTTTCCTATGCTGTTAATTTATATATATATATATATATATTTCCTTTTCTGTTCCTTTACCACAGAGAAAAAAAAAGACAACAGTGAAAGCAGAATGACTAGCAGCAGAACTTGAAGCAAAACAAAACTTGAAGGAAAAAACACTTTCCCAGGGAATGTTAGTTCTTGCCATCTTTGGAGTTCTAAAAAGCAAGACAAAAAAAATGGCTTTTTTAAAGTTGGAAGTGTCCCTTTTAAAATCTATTTTCTCAAATGGGTTTCATCTGAAGAAACTGAGTACTTCCCAATGCACACAGCTGTTATTTTAAAATGTTTCATAAAGGATGCAAAATACAGTTGTATTTCTCCCCTTCCTAGGGGAATTAGTTGTGGCAGTTCCACCTCTCATTACTCTGAAATTTTCCTGTAAGTGATATGCTAGAAACTGGTGTTGGAAAACAGCATCTAATACACACAGGCATAGTGGAGATTTGCCCATGTTACTTTGAGGGGTGGAATGGGACACACAGAGATAAATATTTGTATGGATAATGACAAAACTTTTGAGAATCCACCTTCTAGAGCAAGAGTCATTTTCCTTGGGTAGGACACAGCTGCAGGATTCCCATGAAGAATAACACCTCCGTATCCCGAAGCACAGCTCCACCGAGTTTTTAAATACACAGTTAGAAAGACTTACTTGCAGGGAATGGGGTAGGAATATGCCCTGTAAGTACTGAACTTATAGTGCATACACATATTTGTTAAATCCCCGGGGACTTAAGAAGCCAGCATTATAGCACCTGTAGTCTTGTGCATATTTCTGCAGCGGTGCCTGCCACTTGCCACTAACAGCTGTGTAGAGCAGCAGAGTACTGGTTACTTGAGTTTCCTGGCTTCAAATGATTTTAAGTAAAGCAATTCCTTGGCACTGTTGCAGCATTTCTGCCACACCAGCAATGCAGGGGGCTTCCCTCTTCTGTGTCCACCCTCCTCCCAAACCTGAGCTCTGAAAGATGGTTTACAACTATGTGTCTAGTTAAAATTTAAAGGTATGTGAAGAGTCAGTGTCAAATCTTCCTCCAACTCCAGTGAGCTCCAGTCAATCAGCCTGGCAGGCAGAGACTACTTGCAGGGAGGATGAGGAGCTCCAGGCCGCTCTACCCTCACCAGCGAAGGCAGGCGGATCGAGGCACAGCCTTTCATTTGCAGCAGCAGCAGAGTGGGTTTTCTCTTGACAAGCTACTGCTGCCAAGGGGCCTCAACCACATTGAGGGTCAGGTTCGCGCTACTGAAATCCCAGCTTCCATTTCCCGCAAAGACCCAGTCCTTTGTCCATGTTTCTTCCTCAGTTTTCCAAGGACAGAGGCAAATGTGACCCTTCCCAAGGCCAGGAGTAGCTTGTTGCCATCCCTTGCTCTTGTGTGCCATCAAACTAAGCACAGTGGTTGTGCTTCCCTCTCTAACGCAGCGCCCAGCTCTGTGCGCAGAGCGCTTCCCCGCACACACAGACACCCAGCTCAGGCCTCCATGCAGATTTGCCCTTCCAGATTTCTGTTCTCCAGGATAAATTCCACAGAATAATCCTGAGCTCTTTTAGAAATCAAAACATAATATTCCTTTACAGATTGATATTTTATAATACAACTTCTGCATTGTAGTTTCATGCACAGATGGACCATGTTTGTGCCCACATAGAAGGAACACTCTGGCAAGTAATAAATCCCATTGCTATGCTTCTCCTGCAGCTTTTCTGTAAAAATATTTCTTCTAATAGGAAATTTCACTCCTAAATGATTGTTTACTCTCATTCCCAGCTACAGTAATCTGACTTGTAATAAGATTTTTCACATAAAAAAAAAAGTCAGTGCTTTATCGGGTTTGAGGTATCTGCTTGACTAGAGGCACTCTCGACATCCAAGGGGCTTTTTTCTTTAGGTACTGATGGAGCATTTGGAGCTTGCGAATCAGCTGCTATTATACACTAATTACGTTTCCCAGATTATAAGAACCGCCTTATAAGCTAAATTTGATCAGGATAAAAAGGCTGTGTTCTTTTTTTTCCCCTCCGTAACTGTCATTTCTTTATAGTTAGTTGTAACGAAGAAAGACACAGAGATTAATGGAAAAAAGAAAAAAAAAGAAAAAAAAAACAAAACAGAATGTTATCACCAGAGGAGCATCTTGCTTATTTTTGTAACATAGCAGCCATGACCTCATGTGTTTTTATGGTGAATGCTGGAAAGGCATGACACCCTGAACAGTGAGAATTAAACAGTCACAAGGACACTCACCTTCTCTCCACCATCCTGGAGTCCTAATCATGGTAGGAAATTAGCACAAGTGACATCCATGTTGCGATGCCAGGGGCAGCACTGGCCTCGCTCCAATAAACACGTTAATACTCCCTGCTTACCGAGTCCAGCTGGGGGATAAGACAGCAGCTTCTCCTCTGGATTTTCTAGCTCTAGAAGATTAATTTCTTCTATGCCTCGAGGGTGTCTTTCCTCAAGGCTCCTTGCTTAAGTGATAGAAAGATGGTTTATTGTGCTGCTGAGCCACTTTTGAATCTATTTCTGAGATCTTCCTGAGCTATTTGCCACAAGCAGACTGACCTGCAGATAAGGATGCAAAGTGGTTATCTGCCTCATGAGGTACATACCATAGATGATACTGCTCATTACTGGGTGTTCTTGATTGTGCCATCAGCTTGACATATACATTAATACATCACCTAGAAATAGAGTTGCCAAACTTCCTCATGAGCTGTTCTCCTATCTCAATTCGCTCCAAGCTGCTTGCTTGGTGAGGAGACTATGAACTTAACATTTGCTGGGACAGAACTAGTCCCACCTCCCTACCCAATGCTCAGCTAAGTATTTTTATTGCCCAATCTCTTGATGGGCGAGTCCTGAACAAATAATTTAGCCCTTTTCACTGATTCAGCAGAGCCCTGGCTGGACTGTAGGTTCTGCCCATGGTAGGTATAGGTACTGTAAAGAAGTTTTACTATGAATCCTTTGTTCATTTTGGCCCCAGATTTGTGGGGTTGATTAAAGCTCTAGTTCAAATGCTAGTACTTTTTAAAAGAAAGGGGATTAGCAAAGACAGGCATCTGTGTGAAAATACGGTAGTATTCCATCTTTTCTTCTTCCCCAGGCACCATAAGTACATTATTAAAAAAGCAGGCTTTGAAAATTCACTTGGCCATCTTCATACCTTTCTCTGCCCCACATAGCATCATACATTTAGAGCGCATCAAGGCCTACAAACTACCATTTCTGTGCAACTTCTATCTCGTTCCATACACTGAAATGCTGAAGGTAAAAATCTTAAAGCTTTTCTGTTACTAAAAAAAAAGTTGCCTAGAGCCATTCCACACAATTGCACAGAACTGCCAAACTCCAAATCTCTGCTTAGCCACTGTCTACTCTTGTGCATCTAAACCCTGGCACACAGTTTTAGCCACATGCAGATCCATTTAGTCTTGACAGTAATAAACAATTCATGCCATAATTTATTTAAACTCCAAACCCAAGACTTCTTCCATCTACCCTGTCTGCTGAGCCGAGTACATGTTCTCTAGACACTGAGTAACAGCTTGTGACTGGAACAACCCAAAAAAAAAGTGACATCACAGATGCTTCTTACTCTGTGTGTATTGAGAAATCACTAGCAGATCCAGCCTGTTTTTCCTATTGCTTGAAAATAGTCCTATTAAGCAAATTCTCAAATTCTTCTGGTTATAACAGGTAGAGAAAAAAGAGCAAGTGTAGGCATGACTCCAACCTAACAGCCCACTGTAATGTTGAGAATGAATAAGTTTTGTACACACCTGTACTCTCAAAGCTCCTTTACATGAAAAATACGTGAAGAGTATTGGAAATTGAAATAGACAACTAAGATACCGGCTCCTAAGTCAATGATCTGATTACCAAAGTAGATGGTCTTTTGGGTTCAAAAAAAAGGCACTGTAGTGACCACAGATCACTGTCCCTCAGGGAATACAAGTGAGCAAAGATGAGGATATATTTTCATAACTTAACGTGACCCAGTGCCACGCTCTTGGGAAAGAGCCCTGTTTTGGGATCGTGAGCTGCAGGACAAGCTGCTGCACTTGCTGCTGCTGTGCAGGGTCCTCTGGGCTTCTCAGTCAGCAGCAGTAACAGCTCCGAGATGTGGCTGTACCCCAGGGAGTTCGTGTTGACTACACAAAAAACTTCTTGCACATTTCCTCCAAGGAAAAGGAAGAAAACTCAACATCAGGTGACAGTTTTAGACCACATAGGATGAAAGCTGAAAGCATAACTTATGGAATACCCTTATGATATAAATATCCTTGTATGTGCCTTATTTTGCTAGATCTACAAATATCTTGCAGGGAAATGTGGAAGGCATCTACAGGTGAACCTAACTTTCTATGGATTCAGTCCTTGGTCCATTTGCAGCTTTTCCATCCCCTTCCTCCTTGCCTATATTCCCTCAGACAAATCTGGTATGTATTTGCTGCAGTTCACAATGTGGAACATGCAGCCCACGTGAAACATGTAACAGGCATCCCGGCTGTAGTATGCTCTCCTGCTTTGCATGCTACTTGTTCTGGATGTTATTTT